GACTCATAACTGTAAACTTACAAACTGGACATGCGATTTATAGGAATAAGTAAAATACTGGTTTGTAATGAAGTTTACAAGCAGTCAGTATTCCCTGTCCGTACACTTGCTAGAATCTACGTGTCCGTTGTAGCTTTAAAGCAGACTTCAGATAGGCGTGACAGTTCCCCTCTCGGGTAATAGACACCCCAGTATAGGGGAGGAGGTGATGCTGGAAATGTTTCTTTGAAAGTCACCTCAGTTTGTATTCCTCGTTGATTTGAACTGGGTGTCTACACTCCCACTGTTTAAGAGGCTGTCGGGCCACAGGACAGGACTTGGGTGCTGTTTGCTGTTCGTGCTGTCCCCTCTCTATGGAACTCACCCTCCAGTGTTCAACCAGTGTCTACCTGTGGAGGCACAGGAAGGAAGGTGGATGGAGAGAAACTGGGGGGGGGGGTGTGCACGCGTGTGCTTGTGCCTGGGACAAGCTGTGCTCATTGACACTTGGCTTTGTGGAGTGAGATGCAGGACCAGACACTAAACCAGCCTGGATTCCCAGCCTAGAAGACACCGCCGAGGTTGCTCCCGTTCCTGCTATACAGCACAGGACCTGCATGTGTAGTTGAGCCGTTGTCTGGCCTGCCAGGAGCCTCTCTTACCCACCCGTGGCCAGTGACCCCAAAGCTGACCTAGTTCTGCAGTTAGGCCAGCCCAAAGGAATTGATCGGACGTTTCCTTGTTCACTGACACACCTGGGTGATATACATACAGCTTTGGGGAGCAATTGGAACTTTATGGCCATCCTTGGAAACCTGAGGTGCAGTCACATTCGCTGGAATAATAAATGGGTGTTAAAGGCGCCCCCATCTAGCATTCTGAATATATGTTTAAAAAGATTGCCTGCTCAAATATCTTTACCATTAGTTTTGTTCCCATTTTGAATATTAATATTTATAGAGTAATAATTGTATTCTAGGTGACTTATAAATGCTTCCTCAATATATCATATCTACTTTGAAATAGAGCTACAGAGTAAACTAAGTTGTGGATTCTAAAAAGGAGCATGATTGTAAACTTTTGGAAAGTGTGGTATTTTATATATATGTTCATGTACCAAAAACCAATATAATTTAAATGGAATTTCTCTGAATAAAGTGTATTTTAGTACTTAATGAACTGCCATTTTTTACCCTATCAAATATATGAGGCCTATAGTCTTGGATTTTTAGAAATTGTTTGACCTCTGTCACAGGGAGCTTCCTGGTCTGTTGACCTCTGTCACAGGGAGCTTCCTTCTCTTCTGGCTTGTGGAGAACCAGTGAGTCTCCCACTGTGCTGAGGAGAAACTGTGTCTGAGATTTCTGAGGAACAAAGCTGCCAAGAATGGAGAAATTGAGCTAGGTGTGATGGTGCACACATTTAATCCCAGCACTAGAGGCAGAATCAGGAACATCTCTGTGAGTTCCAGGTTAGCCTGGTCTACATAGTTCCAGGACACCTAGAATTACGTAGAGAAACGGTCTCAATGAAAAGAATTGAGAAATAGCAGTTCTGATACATGTTGACACTCGGTGAAGGGGCAGATGCCTGTCAGCTCTGGAGAGATGGTTCCAGAACTCATGTGCCACGAGGGCGCCCTCATCACTACCTGCCCAAGGCTGCGTGCATCTCCCGTTAAACCTGGACAGATTGGGAACTCTGCTTTTGGTTCCATAGTCTATCCTCGGACCTGCAGGATAACATTGGATTAGATTCTCTGTAGTGAGTTCCATGACTTCTATGCTGTTAGCACTAAACACCGACTGCCATGTCAGGCACCTGTCTTGCCTGATTGTCAGGGTAAAAAAACAAGTCCATTTACGTAGGTTCACAGCACTAAATCAGATGGCCAAGACTGTTAAAAGGCTTTTCCTTGGAGCTAGAGAGATGGTTTGGTGCTTAAGGGAACTTGCTCTTGCAATGGACCTGGGTTCAGTTCCCAGCATCCTTACTCATCCATGTGGGAAACTTCCTCTAGAGCCCACTTCTGACCTCCTTGGACACTGCATGCTCATGGTGTGTTTAAATGCAGGCAAAACATTTTTTTTTAACATTGTTCCCACTAGGCATGGTTATGCATGCCTTTAATCCCAACATTTGGGAGGCAGGGGCAGGTAGGTATTGTCAAGGACAACCATGGGTACACAGACCCCGGCTCTAAAAAAAATGGAAAAAATACCTATGATAATACAAAAATACAGCAGACTAAAATAGTGAACTCTTTAAACAACAAAACAATACAGTGTTCACAATAATGCAATGTTTGCACTTTTGAACACCTCACTGTAATGAGAAAAAACAATCCTCCATTTAATCCAGTGCCCAGTAGAATCAAGTTTATGAGTCCCGGTGGATTATAAGCAAGCTTTATGTCGCAAATCACTCTTCCTGGCATAATTCCCGTCCCCAGTCCGCAGTGTGTACGTTCTGCATGCTTTTCCTCGTGGCTTTCAGGGCAATTTTCATTTAATATTTGCCTTTCTGAAAAAAAATATGTTTGTAGAGTTTCTAAGCAAAAGCAACATTTCCTCCAGCGTGGTGGAACTGGGAGCCACAGGAGGTCCAAAATCACGGTAATTTATCGCTTTGCTGTTGTACAATCATGCGTGGGAGTGTTTCCATTAGAAATGTATCCTGCTTTCAGGCCAGCAGACTTACAAAGCCCACATTATGCGGCCTTAGTACAAATGAAGAAAATGGCTGCATTAGCAAATTCAGCTGTCACTTTTTTTTTGCATAAAGAATAGAATCATCGGAACCAGGTAAGACAGACTAGAATCCAGACTTCCTGCTCGTTAACATCTTCACTGCTTTGGTCCTTAACATCTTCACTGATCCCACCCCGGGCAGCACCTTGGAACCATTCACCTCTATTTCCAAGGCCCCGTGTTCCAGTGCTCTGCAGACCTACTAGTGGGTTCATAGTAGGGCGCTTGGGCTGAGTCACGTGGATTCAAGGCCATGATTCCCGTTTATGAGGGTCCCGGTTTGCACGTGTTGGACAGTTCCCTCTCGTGATTAGTCTGCTCTCTGCCCTCTAACCTGGACACAGTGTTGCTCTGGATCAGGACCCTGAAAGTTCGTTTCAGGGTTGGGGCTCGAGTCTAACTTGTTAATTACTTTCTCTGCCACCAAATTATTCACCCCAGCTATTCAGCTCGACCATTCTAGATGAAGAACCAATTTATCAGACACAAGTGACGTCTGAGTCGAGACTGGCGCAGACTATTAGCAACTAAGAACGTTTCAGGCATAGGCACTGGCTGTGTTGTCCCAAGAATTTGCTTCCTTTGCAGCCAGCTCAGCCTTATGGTGAGTCTGCACTAAAGCTGATCCCCTGTGCTGGGCTAAACGCTGCTAAGTGACTAATTTAATTTTGGAAGAACCCTTGGCCACAGGACTTGAGTTTGACATAATTTTCAATATCTCTGTTGTATGTGAATGGTTTAATCTGAGATCAAGAGCTTTTTAAGAATGAATGAAAAACAAGAGCAAGCAGGAGATCTACCTCTGTGGACTGGCTCAACCTGGGGAAAGATTATGTCTTAAGTAATCTTTTAAAGAACAAGAGCGGTTTAAAAAAAAATCACAAGGACTATTGGAGTCAACACAGGTGATTATTTTCGGTTTAATTGTTGTATCCCCCCCATCAACAGCGTAACTTGAATTTGGAGAGCTTAAAATGTAAATTTCAAAACCTTCGTCTTCGGATCAGGAGTCTACAAGCTGCAGCCTCAGGCCAAAGCCAGCAGCTGTGTGTTTGTGTAAGCTGGTTTATTGGAACACATCCACACCCTCCACACACTGCTATGGTTGAAGCAGCCTTCACACCGGAACAATGGTGACAGATTGTGACAGGCTATATAGCTATCAAAGCCCAAAATATGGATCCTTAGCAGCAAAACTTCGCAGCCCACAAGAAAATTCTGCTCCTTTGCTTTGCAGGATAAGGGATCACTGAAGGATATAGGGTGTCCCTAGGGCCCTGGCCCTTCTCTTCCCAGGCCTTGTGTGCCCTGGAAAACACTTTCAACAACACAAACCCATGAAGTTAGAGTATTGAGATGCATAGGCACTGGCCTTTGTGTGGGGAGACAGGATGGAGGTCTGCTCTGAGGACAGGCTCCAAAGAACCAGTAGCTGTCTTGAGTTTCAGCATCTCTTGTGCTCCAAGTTCTGGGTACCACAACACACGGAGTGGCAAACTCACAAAGTCAGATGACATCTCTCAGTGGCTTCCAACCTTCCCCTTCCCACTCTCTCTATCCAGGCCTAAAGACAGCAGGTCACCTAACCAGAACAGAGCTGGGATCTAGGGAGGGAATTCTGTGCATGTAGAGTGAGCAGACTGTCCACACAGGAGAACCATGACAGGATGTACAGTACAAGCGGGATTCAGCAGATGAGGGACACAGACACCAAAGCCAGGTGTCTCCCAGAGACAGGAAGACAGAAGGAGAAGAGCTAGCACTGGATGGCAAATTCTTGACATCCAGTCAAGATGAACTTACATGCAGTTATGACCGTGACTGCACATATGCACATATGCACACATGCCCCCCCACATACATGTGTTCATTCATTCTGCCAGTGGAGAGCCCTGATGCAGTAACGGGCAGCAGCAGAACAGATTAATCCCTCGGGTCCAGGCTTCTATCATTCCCCACTAAAAAGAGTTAAGTGTCTACAGAGAAACATCCAATTCCAGGACTGGGCTGGGGAAATGCAAGATAATACCACAAATACTTCATTTTGTCAGGGCCCTCAATGAATGACAGAGGCCTGATTAAGAAGATGCAGAAGCCATCTTGAGCGTTCCACTGGTCAAGTCAGGGACAACCTGAGCATCAAAATTAATGATAGCAATGGATTATAGCTTGCTGAATTAAAATGGGATTCCACAAGTATATAATTTATGCCAATAACTCGGTAAGTAAAAGGAAAGCTTGATGAAGAACGAGCAATAAACAGTTTCTAGGCACTGGCACTCAAAAGGTTTATTCGTTATGAAAGGAGGAAACACGGACATGTGGGAGTCCGACAGACAGGCTTCCATCAGGCCACCAAAGTGCGCCTCCTTGTGCAACAAGTGGAAAGCACACGCCGCTTACTGTGACGCATTAAAGCAATGCCATTTCTCGGTATCCTGACCAAAAGTGCCCGGCCTAGACTTAATCCTTAAATACACCACATAAACCCAAGCCTAGAGTCAGGGGCATTGAGGAGCTTTCCAAACTGAGAGAAACCAAAGAGACATGACAATCAAACGGTGCCCTTGACTCTGGTCTGGATAAGGAGGAAGAACACTGGATCTCTTTTTGGATCTTGAGTGGCATCTATGTACCGAACGGTGGCAATGGGACTGTGCAGACTCCCGGAGTCTACTGGGTGCTGGGAAGGACAGTCGCTGCTCACACTGAGGTCTGCACTTAAGTCACAGGGTAGCCTGAACACACGGATGCTGAGTCCATGGGTCTGGGTGGCCCTGGGATTCTGCCTCTCTCATCTGTAACCAGTGATGTTCTAATGCTGGCCAGGGACCACACTAGACATAGGCTCTGGGGGACTGGGGGAGAACATCTCTCTTGGCCGCAAACACCCTGTCACTGTTTCTTTCAGTGCCTGACTCTAGTTTTCCTGTGGGAACAACCCCCTCCCATCCCTGTGCCTTGAGTCAGAAGCGCCTCGATACAGGCGTATAGCATATAGCCTGGGTGTTCAAGCAATCCATCCGCTGGCCATTAGGAAAGGTTAATTAAGGTTAATCCTGAGACCCAGACAGTGGGACTGGGGTGCAACTCTGAGGCCTGGCTGGACCGGCATAACCTCTGTAATCTGTTTCTAGAAGCTTCTTGAAATCCAAGACCAGTATCTCAGGCCTGGCCTTTGCTCTCTGACCCTCAAAGACCTCAGGATGTTTTTATTCCACCACACAGCAACCATGGAGAAGACGTTCAATAGCTCTTAATTGTTCATCTTTGGGGTTTGGAGTCTATGGATCCACACAAAGACAAGAGATGGCATTTTGCTAGTCTGTTTTAGGTCACCTTCTGTAGTGGGAATGGCTTAACATAGGGTATGAGGATGGTGGGCAATAAAGCTGAGCATTTTACTATTAAACCACTATTCTTTCTGGTTTGATAGAAATTCCAGAAATTTCTGCATAGCCTGGCTATTCAATTTATATCTAACTGGCTCCCATTCCATACTGGGTTGTTTACATAAAGATATAACCAACGAACATAAATGAGCAACATTGCAGGTGCCACCAAGTCCCCATTTTTTTCTCCCATCACAAGCCCAGGCCAGTGATCAAAAATCCCTTTCAACTGTCTTTATTCTACTGCCATCCTGTGGCTGACCTATGCCACTGCAGCACCAAGGGGCGCACGCTGCTGGGATCTGAGTAATCTTTGTCCTCACTGCTGTCAGCGGGAGGCGGTCAGCCCTGGGAGAAAGGTCCCACCGACAGAGCATCACCAGTCTTGAAGTGACTTCTGTTTGATAAACTTTAAGGACAGATAGTACAGGAACAGGAAGCCACAGCTGATGCCAGTGACGATGAGGTAGATAGCATAGAGTGGGTGCGAGTTCAGGTCCATGATTTCAGTCATCTGCGGACACAAACGTGGTGAGCTCCTCTCAGGAGCCCTTGAATTGGGAATCCCCAGCCTTCATTACTTACCTTTTCTCCGGGAACTGTGAAGGTGTGGTTGCCGATCTGCACTGTGTAAGGGTATCCATTGAATTGAATTTGCATTAGCCCCGAGAAACACCAGCGGAGGAAGGACAGTTTGGAAATCCATGCTGGTACTGAAGACAGACAGCAAGAGCTTGGTTATTTACACTGTCTCTGCTGACATTTCTGACTGCCCTGCTAAGTCTCCAACCATTCCTAGAGAGAGGAGTCATGCTGGCTGGAGCCAGGAGAAGAGTCCTCTGAGGACCAGGGGACAAAAGAGACGGGGGGGGGGGGGGTAAAAAGTAATGTCTGTGGCTGGGGACACTGTGCTGATGAGGCCAAGGAGGGGTGACTCACATGCTTGGTCCTGACCAGTTCTAGATAGCCATTTCATTATGCTGCGTATATTCAACCAGCCCCACACCAGAGACCCTGAGCCCGGGGAGCACTCTGCTGGGAGAGGAGGATCCTGAGTCTGGGGAGCACTCTGATGGGAGAGGAGGATCCTGAGCCTGGGGAGTACTCTGCGAGGAGAGGAGGATCCTGAGCCTGGGGAGCACTCTGCTGGGAGAGGAGGATACTGAGCCTGGAGAGCACTCTGCTAGGAGAGGAGGATCCTGAGCCTGGGGAGCACTCTGCTGGGAGATGAGGATCCTGAGCCTGGGTAGCACTCTGCTGGAAGAGGAGGATCCTGAGCCTGGGGAGCACTCTGATGGGAGAGAAAGATCCTGAGCCTGGGGAGCACTCTACTGGGAGAGGAGGACCCTGAGCCTGGGGAGCACTCTGCTGGAAGAGGAGGATCCTGAGCCTGGGGAGCACTTTACTGGGAGAGGAGGACCCTGAACCTGGGTAGCACTCTGCTGGAAGAGGAGGATCCTGAGCCTGGGGAGCACTCTGACGGGAGAGAAAGATCCTGAGCCTTGGGAGCACTCTGCTGGAAGAGGAGGATCCTGAGCCTGGGGAGCACTCTACTGGGAGAGGAGGACCCTGAGCCTGGGGAGCACTCTGCTGAAAGAGGAGGATCCTGAGCCTGGGGAGCACTCTACTGAAAGAGGAGGATCCTGAGCCTGGGGAACACTCTCCTAGGAGAGGAGGAAGTTGCAAGTCCTCACCCAGATGTCAGGGAAGGTTAGCTGAGGAGCCAGTGTTGGCAATGGTGAATGTGGAAAAGAGGCCCCATAGGCTTCACAGTGAGAGGCTTCACAAGAGCTGGGAAGGGGGGCGCACAGGGACATCAGAGAGCCAGCAGCTCTGAGAGGCCTTGGACAAAAGAGGGACGGGACTTGTCCCTCGGAAATCTCACTCTGTCTTTCTGAACACTGCAAAGGCCCCTGAGAGACCAGACTCTTTTGTTGGCCCAGGGTTCAATGATGAGGGCCAGAGCCGTGTTAAAACCAAGGGGATACTTCAGGCCTGGATCACTGGTGGGTGTGTGAGGGAGGGAGTCAGGGTGACTTCTGGGTATGTGTGAGGGTTGTGGGAAGTGTCGTCTATCCCACAGCTGGCGAAGGCATAGAGAGACACCTAACTGATGGACTTCCATCTCTCGATGAGGATTTAACCAGTCACAGAGGCTTGGCCAGGCAAAGGAGAGCATAGGTTGTCCATGTTTGTCATGAAGTCCACAAAGGGGCACAGGTCTCACCTATCCACAGGTTGTCCAAGTTTATCATGAAGCCCGCAGTTAGATAGAAGGAGTTGTAGAGGGCGTTGCAGAAGAAGGAGGACATGTGGAAGGTGGGCAGCAAGGCAGAGGCAGCCAGGGCCATGGTCCTGCAGCAGAAGACCACCAGCCACAGAAGCATGAAGTGTAGGAAGAAGAGCTCAGGGAGTGGCCGCAGGTTGGTCAGCCAGTAGATGGGCATCCCATAGATGATGACATAGGCACAGTGCTCAGGCAGTTCGCCAAGGACCTGCAAAGCACAGCCCTTGCTGGAATACGGAGCCCACACCCCCGTTTGCCATTATCCTAAGATGTTTAAGTAGCGGCAACTCCTAGGATGCCAGGGCTCCTTCTCAGGGAAGAAGGGGGTGGCAGGTTAAGACCCATGAACCTGACCTCTCCCTGGGTTTCTGCTGCAGAAGCATTCCAGGGTTCTGCTCCATGGAGGCAGCTGGCATATAAACTCTGCTAAGACCTGGCTCAATTCTCCACCTTTCCTGCCCAGACCCGGTAGCTGTGTAGCTTTATGAGAGTCAAGTGACCTCTCTGAGCCTCTTCCTGGAAACACCTGCCTGGCTTGCTCAGGGCTCTGGAGATGTAAGGTATTGCTTGGTGTTGCCCACTTCTTTCTCTCTTGGTTCTGGCTACCCAGAAACGTTTCGTTTCTGCTTCTCAGCCCCGGCCTTTCTGTGGACCATGTAACGACTAGTAAGTCTCTGAAGCTCTTCTAGAGAATTCGGTATCTGCTGCCACAGAGACTACTTGGCTGGGTGTTTCCACAAAACCCTTTTTTGCAATGCCCGGAAGCACTTGCTATCCGCCCTGACCTTGGCGAAGAAATATGGACCAGCAGTGTACAGTCCGTCTTCCAGTTCATAGTACAGCATTGATCTCTCCGAATGACCTAAAGAGGGGGAGGAAAAGGGAATGAATGAACGGAGATCACCTATAGTATTACTGATGTTGCGTCCCTCGGAATGCCATCTGTCTCTGGTAATGTATCATTGAAATCAGTGACCTGAAGCTGGTGTGTTCTTCAGCGGCAGAACACTTGCCCAGCATGCACAGAGCTATAGGCTTAATCCCCAGCACTGGGGGGAAGACTAGTTATGCTTTCTGAATTTGTTCATATGCTTTGTAAATAACAGGCACGGTGAAGACATCCCACTCCAGGTGGTCCGCACCTGCAGCAAGTCACTGCCACGCATAAATCCTGCGAGGACAGGAACAGCCAAGACACCATGGTTTGCATGCTAATATAAACATGAAAACTTTCAAAACAACTGCTGCGTTTATCACACAAGCATGATGAAATAGTTGCATAAAGACATTGTCCCAGGGCACTGGGAGAAGCACAGGGATCAGCCTCAGACCAGCGCAGGGGGAGGCTGATGCCCTCTGTCCAGCTGAGCCACAGTCTGGGGAGGAGAGTAGGTGACACTCACATTTGGAGACAACATCCAGAATGACATTGAAAGGGATGAGCGCTCCTATCATGAACAGCAGGGCTGCCGTGTCCATGAAGTAGAGAGGCTTGATGTCGTGGCCATAGTAAAGGAACCCGATGATGAGGGACATCAGACAGGCTTCCGCCCCGTGGATGAGCAGGGTGGGCAGGTCTCGGAAGTCATTGGAAATCTGACGACTTTTAAAGGAGGGAAGGAAAAAGAAGTGTCAAAGGAACAACATACAGAGCTGTACGACCTTAGGAAGCTCCTCTCATTGCCAGGAACCTGATTTCCTCATGTGTAGAATGTGGACTGTAATGCCCACCGCAGAATGTCCATGACAACTAAGGGAGAAAACCGACAGAAGTGGGCACTGAATAGAGGATTATCCTTTGGGAGGCATCCTTCTTGTTTTGGGTTTGAGTCAGGGTCTGCGGCTGTATAGCCCAGGGTGGCCTTGTCTCATGTGCTCCCCAGACCTGGCATTTCAGACAAGCACCACCATACTTGGTGAATGATGACTTTTATCAACAACAAAACGTTTACTACAGGGGAAAATCAAGTATGTCATACAGATGTTGGCCGCAGTGTGTCTCTTGATGCTGAAAGCCCCCCAGCAAAGAGGCCATCCAAACAGAATGGAGTGTACGAGAGGCGAAGCCACGGTACTCTATTCAGAGACGAGAGAGAACATGATACCTTGGTTTGACCAACTGTCTCCTAAACAATACATGAACCTGCTCCGTGCCTGTGTGTGTGCAGACCCCCAGAAAGACAGCTGTGGTGGGTGCACCTTGATTTCAAGCTTTCATTGAGCGGGGGATAGTGGGGACTCTGCCCTTCCCGGATCTGAGTTTCTTACGTGGCTGTTTCTATGATTGCCACTAATGAGATTTTGGTTTTGTTTAGACGGTAAGATTATCAGGAGTGCTCCATGTCACAGGAGAGCTAAGCTGGTCCTAGGGATGCTGGCTTTTACACAATTACACTGCTTGCTCCCTCACTTGCTCCTCAGAGGCATGGGTGAGCAGGGAGAGAGAAGGAGACATTTACCAGATCAGGGTGGTAAACTGTTGTATCGCTCCAGGCAGCTTAGCAGTAGCTCTACAGCCTGCGTCCTGTGGGAGGGTCTGGCTGTTGGGAAACAGTGTGTGATCAGGTTGGGGCACACCACAGAGGGCTTCCCACTCAGGCAGTTGACCCACTGTACCTGACTGTGTAGGTACCCGTGTTGAGTTCCTTCGTCTCTGTTTTCCACATAAAGTCATCGAAGCCTCGCACTTTTTCTAAGAACAAGGCTGCAAGTGACCGAGCCTTTTCCATGGTGGCCGCTTCCTGTTCTTTGCTGCGCCTGTCAATGCTAGTCAAGTCCACTGTAAGCAGAAGACATAAGGCCATAGGCAGCCTCGTCCCTGGCAGCTCAGCTCTCCCACCCTCTGAGAAGGAGCTTGGATGCAATGGTCAGAGCAGAGAGGCAGAGAAACCTGCTTCCCTTGCTCTCCCAGATCTGACCACATAAGCAGATGCCACAGATCAGGAAGTGGCCAAAAGCAGAGGCCCTGGCCCCAGGCCCCAGTCCCACACCCAGGGACATTTCTGGAGTGGGCGGGTGCCCTTGGGGCCAAGTGCCTCATCATAGGTATACAACGGGCCTAAGTCCAGCCGTATATATATTTACCTGTTATCGTAAAGTCATAATTTGACCTCCCAGTGACCAGGGTGCTGGGGATTAGCCAAGTTCAGTGGTCACACTGCCCGTGTTAAGCTCTTCCCCAAGGGAGTCTAGGGTAGCTCACCCAGTTGGGGAGCCAGATCACTGGGAGCAACCTTTTGAACCTGAGAAGATGCCACACTGCGGGTGGCAGACCCATCCTGCAGCCCTCTTCTCATGAGGTTCTACCCTCCCTCCAATGTCTCTGCAGTACCAGAAAGAGCCAGGTCCACCAGTCACAGCCAGGACCAGCCTGCTTTCATTACACTTCACAAGAAAAGAACATTTGTGGGAGGGTCACTATGAACCCTGCAGGTTTCCTCGGTAGGGGTAGGCGAGAGCTCAAATGTCACATTTTCTGGGCAGCTTGGGCTCCATGTGAACAGCTCCTGCATCCTAGATCCTGCCCCGGGCCTAGTAGACAAGGACCCTAGCCCTGCTCACTCCAAATAATAACAGAAAGAGACGTTTTCAAGTCTTCCATGGACACCAGGCTTGGGGCAGCCCTTCCAGGTTCACTTCAGACTTCCCTGGTATGCAGGTTGGCAGCTGTCCTCTGCCCGCTTATTTGAGGTCATCGGTCAGAGCGTGACCCATGGGTGGGCACTGAATATAGGATTATCATGGGTAGGAGAGTTGACCTCTCTGCGAGTTCATTGAGGGCATGAGTTCATAGGACAGGGCAGAGAGCCAGGGGAATGACCTTTCCTCCTGGGTGGCTGAGGATGGCCGTGTGGGTGGCGTGGCTAGGAGTCAAGGTTTGGGGCCGGGTACACCTGGGGGAGCTCTGGTCTGCCCCGGCAGCCCTGCTAGAACACAGTAGGCCAGGGGCAAGGTTCCACGGGTCGTATGCAAAGACAGAGCTGACCTTGGAGACACCATGAAGGTGCATACATTGCCATCCTAGAAATAAGCTGGGGTTCTTGGTCACCTAGGGTACTGGTTATAGCTGCTGCCTGCGTCTGGTACAGTGGTCACTTGTCCACCCAGGCTGTTTATTCCTCAGCTGTCTTGGGGGGGAGGGGGTTACTGGCGGGTGTCCTGAAAAGACCGTTGCTCCCATGAATGAAGTGGTTCGTAGCGCTCTTAATGGACTCTTCAGTGCCTGGGACCCCAAAGAAAGGTAAGGCAGTGACCAAGTAAGCAGTCTGTATTCAGAGACCCACTGTCCTGGGTCCTTCTTTCTTTTTTTTTTTTTGGTTTTTTTTTTTTTTTTTTTTTTTTTTTTGGTTTTTCGAGACAGGGTTTCTCTGTGGTTTTGGAGCCTGTCCTGGAACTAGCTCTTGTAGACCAGGCTGGCCTCGAACTCACAGAGATCCGCCTGCCTCTGCCTCCCGAGTGCTGGGATTAAAGGCGTGCTTTCTATGCTGCCTGCCTCTGTGGCACACACAGGCATATATATATACTGTTTCCTGCAGACTGCATAAAGACCACAACCGTACAAACGGATCCAAGACTTCCTGAATTATACCTCCACCCCACCCACCTGCATACCGCTTCCTAACCTATCCTGCACAGAGGGGCAATTAGTCAGAAGATTGCCATATTCATGCCTTGCTCTTGATCCTGGTAAACTGACCCGTTTCTCCTTGGAATGCTAACACTCTGTCCTGGGTCCTCCTCACCGGAGGTATGTGGAACAGTATCTCCGGTGCATCTTTCCAGTAAGCATTTTGCTTTATTTTGTTCTATGGTTTCGTTTTCTTTTGTTTTGCTCGGGTGAGGGGTGCCGGCAAATGGTTGTGCACCAGGCTACAGACCACTGGCTTCGCTCACTCACCGTAGAAGTCGGCAGGGTTGCTGTAGCGAGGACAAGGGTAGCCAATTTCTGTGAAGTACTGCACCATATGTTGCGCGGCCCCCAGGTAGATAGGGGTGCCGGAAGTCATCAGAAGGACCAGGTCAAACAGCCTGAAGATGTCAGAGCGAGGCTGGTGGAGGGAGATGAGCACCAGCCTGTTGCCTTTGGCCAGTCGGGACAGGGTTCTCACCAGGTTGTGGGCAGTGAAGCTGTCAAGGCCGGAAGTGGGTTCATCCAGAATGAGGATTCCTGCGGACATTGCGCCGTGAGCCCCAATGACAGGCAAGATGCCGTCTCAGGGCCCCTTCCCTCTGGTTTCCAGCCTCACCTGGGTTCCACAGAAGCTGCACCCCGATGCTCACTCTCCGGCGTTCACCCCCAGACACCCCACGCACATATGTGTTACCCACACGGGTGTTGGCGCACTGCCTCAGCCGCAGCTCCGCAATCACGTCCTCTACCTGAGGGAGACAAGGCTTAGCATACAGGCTTCCAGGGCTACACTTTGTTTCCCCAGCAGCATATTCGCCCCCATTGTTATGTCCCTAGGTTCTGAGCAGATTCAGCCTGGAGAGCACAGGCTGGGTATTGGGAACCAGACTGGGTTATAGAGGCCACATAATTAGCCTCCCCCGCCCCCCACAACTCACACGAAGCACCCAAAAACCCTCACACAAATAAACGCACACTTATCACCCATTTGACAAGGTCCAGAAAGGGAACTCATGGGGGCTAAGTACATTGGCGTGTAAGGTGGGTCTTCTGGCAAAGCAGGGAAGTCTCAGCCACCAAGGATCACCCATTGGTTACCCTTTTGTCACGCTGGGCCTGAGAGAAGCTCCTGGGCAGGCGCATCTGGGCAATGAAAGCCAGCGTTTCTCTGACAGTCAGGTTAGGGAGCAGCTGGTCTTGCTGGCGCACGTGCGCCACACATTTCCGCACCAGCTGGGGCGTGCTGGGTTGCCCATTGATCCAGATCTGTCCCGATTTCATCTTGCCACCGTGGTCTCTGCCCGTGATCACATCTAGTAGTGAGGCTCTCCCGCAGCCTGCAAAGCCAGAGACACCCCCGAGGGCAGAGGTTCTGCAGGGCCAGCTTGCCAGCTACTACCCCTCCCCCGCGCTCTCCAAGCACCAGGACAGCTCTACAGAAGCAACTCTGCTCAGGGGAAATAAACAGTCTTAGTAGATTGTATGTGACGGTCCTGCAGGTGCACCTCAGGCTTTTCTTCTGCAGCCAGCTTGAGCGGGCGGGGGGCGGGGGGCGGGGGGGAGTACACTTTCAGATAGAAGAAGGCTGGAGTCCCAACTGCTACAAGCCTATTGCTATGCCTGCTACACTTTCGCCTTCCACTGCTAACCAATGGCTTTCTCCCGAGCCAGGCTGGGGCTAATTGCAAAGTGTAGCATTTTAAGGCTGGAAACTAAACCTTGGCAACATCTCATCCTTCATCATCGTTTGGCTCCTCAGTGGCTTTGTGGAAATGACTAATTTGGAACACTCGTAGTCTGTCTTTGAAGACTACAGTGTACAGCGGCGGTGGTGGCATATGCCTCTAATTCCAGCACTTGGGAGGCAGAGGACTGTGGATTTTTGAGTTGAAGACTATCCTGGTCTACAGAGCAAGTTCCAGGACAGTCAGGGCTACACAGAAAACCCTGCCTCCAACAAACAAACAAAAAATTCCAAACAACAACAAAAAATCTCAAAAACTAGTTCTACTTTGAGAAATATAAGGGAAAAATAACAGGTGTTAGATAGTACGTCATTTTCAAGCACTCTGATGGATAAACTCCAAATGTATCTATATCCTGTTCTCACTTTTAAAATCAGCGTCTTTTTTTCTCTGCCTTAAAAAACAAGAAAGAAAAATTAGCCCTTCATTCACTCTGAACGCTGTATTGATGTGTATTCATTTGGAAAAGAGGAATTATATTGGAGCAAGTCCCCTAAAGCATTGGGTGAGATTTTCACTCCTTTAGAACTAATTTCCTAGTCATTTTGTGACAGGGTTTCTCTGTGTAGCCCCGGCTGTCCTGAAACTCACTCTGTAGACCAGGCTGGCTCAAATGCAGAGATCCACCTGCCTCTGTCTCCCAAGTGCTGGGACTAAAGGCATGAACCACCACCACTGCCTGGCTCTCCTGTAACTATTTAAACTGTGCTGTGAACCCACCTCAAGTTGGGAGACTACCCTTCTATCTTGGAGTTGGGGACATTCTGCCCAGGCCTCCCAGGAAAGGTTTGACACTGCGGAGTCTTCTATGAAATCAATAGCTGTTTTTTTTCTTTGGTAAACAAGGCAAATGCCTACAGTATATGACGAGTCTTGCTTGGCACATGTCACACGCCGCCTGTAAAATCCAAGAGCCCAGAGGCCTTTGTCTGTGATCCTCGTGCTCGGTGTAAGGGGCAGCAATTGGGGGCAGCTTGTTGGCTACATACTGGGTGTGCCTGGAAGGTTTCCTGAAAAGTTAGGTTGAGCAAAATATCCCCAGGAGGAGTCGGAAAGAGAGGCGTCAGCCCTGCTAGACAGTGACTACAGGCTCTGGGTGTGCGGGGCCTGTGCCAGCATTCACGGGTACCAGGGATCCCAAACAGAGGTCAGGAAGATCACATTTCCTAAGCAAAACTGTGGCAAAAGGCAGAGGCAGCCTTTGCAGCAGAGGGTGCCTGGTGCTGTAGGGCTAACATTCTCTCAAGAGCCACAGCACTCAAGAGCCTGATACTGTGACCGCCATAGCCTTGCCAGTAACTACAGTAACTGGGAAATCCTCTCGTATGGCTGATTCTACAGAACAAGGTAGATGCTTGGAGCTATTTTTTAGAATCTATTAAAAATTATTTTGGATAGTATGCATATTCATATTCTCTGTGTGTGATACTAACTAAGGTACTTAAAGTCACAGGAAGTATATATAATGAATAAATCCTTCTAAGAAAGGTCCAACAATCTCAGTCACATGATCTAGAAGTCAAGCAATGCTGAGCCTAAACCTGGACATTATTCAATATGATTCCTGCTCAGCCTCTCTGAAGTTCACCTTCCTTATTAGAAGTCAGGGATGCTGCTGGCTAGAGTGTTATATGGACCAGGGATGCTGCTGGCTAGAGTGTTATATGGACCAGGGATGCTGCTGGCTAGAGTGTTATATGGACCAGGGATGCTGCTGGCTAGAGTGTTATTATATGGACCAGGGATGCTGCTGGCTAGTGTTATTATATGGACCAAGGATGCTGCTGGCTAGAGTGTTATATGGACCAGGGATGCTGCTGGCTATTGTTATTATATGGACCAAGGATGCTGCTGGCTAGAGTATTATTATATGGACCAGGGATGCTGCTGGCTAGAGTGTTATTATATGGACCAGGGATGCTGCTGGCTAGAGTGTTATATGGACCAGGGATGCTGCTGGCTAGTGTTATTATATGGATCAAGGATGCTGCTGGCTAGAGTGTTATATGGACCAGGGATGCTGCTGGCTAGTGTTATTATATGGACCAAGGATGCTGCTGGCTAGTGCACCAAGTAGACAAGTATTCACCAATATTCATTGTCATGACCGAGTAATGGCTCGTGTGTCTCCTGGATGCACCCAAAAGTCAGATACAACAAGAAAAGACATGTTAAGCCAAAATACTCTCTCTTGTTTAGATCAGAATCACAGGGTCAGGGCCAGGGTGAGAGGGGCTGAATGAGTGTGCATTTTGTTTTAGTTACAAAGTGCGTTTACATATCGCAGCTCATTTGATCTTTGGTTAGACAGTAAACAGATCTATCAGGAGAGTGTAAAAGCTTGGAACAGATGTTCGAAGTGTTGAGTAATCTTTCCTCCTGGAAATGATTAATTAAAAGGTATAAAGTACTCTCTCTAGTGCCGTGTAAAGGAGTCCCGCACACCCGCGAGGTTCTGTAGTCTCAGATTTGGCCTGTGCAAGTGTTTGCTTGAGACACCCCAGTGGTCTGGCTCTTTGCAGGTAGTCAGAGGTTATGCTGGGACTGTGGAGGGGTCAGTGGAGTCGGGGCTCTGCCGAGTCATTGTCTGGCCATGACCAGAGTCTGGCTGTGGAGGAACACCGTGTTCTGAAGCTGCCTGTCTGAGTCCAGGGCTAACAGGAGGCAGACACTATGGCTGCAGCTCCAGGTAGATTAGAGTCACCCTCAGGTTCACAAGAGCAGCGATGTCCAGGAGTTAGTGGGTGCAGGAGGCGACATTTGAGCCCAGGTCTGCCTGACCCAGGACCTGTGCTTCCACTCTGTCCCAGAGGGACCCATGACCGAAGGCTATTCTGTGTCCCAAGAAAAACGTCAGTGCCCACAACTGCCTCTGTTGGTACCTGAGCTTCCTATGATGGCCAGCATTTGCCCACTCCTCACTTTGAAGCTCAGATTCTGGATTCCCATATCACAGGAGTCTTGGTTGCTGTGAGACCGCCAAGGTATCTTGAACTGAGCCAGCTGCTCAAACCAAGGCACCTGAGAGGCGACGTCCACCTGTGGGGAAAGGTTAGAAGGGCCCGGGGAAGCTGAGGGGTTCAGAGGGCTTTCACAGCTTCTCTTTAGCTCTCCTGTGTCTCAGGAGATACCATGCTTCCGAGACGTAAGCGATCTTGAGGCACCCAGATCCTACCCAGCATGGCCGTGAAACCCCACCATCCTGTTCAAGTCTAGAGTTAAGGGGACCAGAAAGCGTATGAAATAGCAGAAAACAGAAAGTGTTTACCACCTGCAAGGCGTTACAGTGATTACATCATTTATCCCGTCTCCTGCTGATTGCAAGTGTATGGCGTGGGTACTGTCGTCTGCTTCACAGACCAGGTTCAAAGCAATTCAGGAATTTACTCAAGCTCACACAGTTTACAGGGCGTGGCAGAGCAGAGAAAGGTTACAAAGTGGTTCCTTCCTTTGTTCTAACTCACACCCACTAAAAGGCCAGCTTGGGACTCTGAAGTTCACCATCCTACTTGGGTAGCAGGTAGTCTACTCCTGGGGAAATGGGGGGATGGGAGTCAATGGATTCTGCAAGGGCATGCCTGAGACCCTCCCATGGTAGCCTTTTCATTCGTGATGTTTTATTTGTAATAGGACAACATATTTTATAAAAAGAGACCATAGATAGATAGATAGATAGATAGATGAATAGATGATAGGTAGATGATAGATAAATAGATAGATAGATGATAGATAGATAGATAGATAGATAGATAGATGTAAAAGGATGAAATTTCAATAAATTCTGTTGTTTAGTTAAGAACCTGTTGTTAGGGCTGGAGAGATGGCTCAGAGGTTAAGAGCACTGACTGCTCTTCCAGAGGTCCTGAGTTCAACTCCCAGCACCCACATGGTGGCCACAACCATCTATAATGAGATCTGGCGCCCTCTTCTGGCTTGCAGAGTACTCATACATAAAATATAAATAAACAATTTTGAAGAAAAAAAAAGAACCTGTTGTTAATTTCTTAGTTTTGGTCATTAAAATGTAGTTTGCAAGATGTTGACTTTGTGGGAAGCCAGGCAAGGAGTATGTGGAGACACTGTGTTTTACTGTGTGTGTTTTCTGCAGGTATGTACACCTTGCATATGTGTGTGTGGACGCCAGAGACGAATGGCGCTGTCTTCCTTAATTGTTTTCTACCTTACTCTTGAGACCTGGTCTCTTGCTGAACCTGGAACAATTGAATGAGCTCTATGGCTCCACCTGGCCCTGGGACTGCAGACATGGTGGCAACCCAGGCCAGCTTTTCTTCTGTGGGTTCTGGAGATCTGAGCTTAGGCCTTCACTTGTGCCTCAGGCATTTTACTGAGTGGGTCATCACCCTAGACCCTATGATATCTATCTATCTATCTATCTATCTATCTATCTATACTATACTATACTTACATAATATAATAGCACATATATAATATAACCATATCACATATGTTATATAAACACACACATATTATGTATATGATAAACACACACACACATATATATATATATATATGTTTAGAGTGATTTTGAATTTTAAGGTTAGGAGTTCCAGAGACATTCCCCAAAGGTCTTAATGGTGAATCTTGACAACTTCCCAGAGCCTCCGCCCCTTTCCACACCTCCAGTTGCAGGTGGGTTTGCATAAGGTAGACAGGGTGCGCTCACTTTTCCTTGCACACTCTGTTCCGTGCCTACTCCTCTCCCCTCAACTCGGGCGTGTGCCCTTACCTGATAGGTGAGATCTCGGACCTCAAGAGTGTTGGACTGGCCACTGTAGGTGAAGTACAGGCTGCTGTCACTTTCAGAGGAGAACAAGCTGTCCTGGAGGCCCTGCTGGGAGTCATGACAGGTAAGGGGTTCCTTCAGAGGACATAGAAGACGGGGGCAGGGGCGAGACCTGAGGGGCACAGGCAGCTGCAGGCAATGAGGCCGAGATCCCACACCGACAGGAGGTGGGGTTGTGCAGGTGGTACCCAGGGCTGAGGAAACCAGGAACACTGTTGGGGCACATCTCCTTTCAGGAGTGTCTTCAGGACAGCTCTAGCCTCAGAGACCCTCAGCCTCGGGCACCTGAGCCCACGGAGTTTAAGATGAATGCCACTCCAGACGGGAAGCCCTGTCAGCTGGGGCCAGTAAACCCATGTTTGACTTTCACTTCCCATATCTGGCCTATTGTCACCTACCACCAGATAGACACAGCATGGGAAAGAGAGAGACAACAGCGAGGCCCCTAAGTATCTGTGATGTCACCCATCTTATGTTGACAAGGGATTTTGTGACACCAAGCTCTTGAATGTCCTTCTGGTTACATTTCAGATTAAGCCCCTACCATCACCATCCTCATTACCACATTGACCGTGCTGTTGTTACTGTGGAGGTGGTGGTGTATTTGGATTTTCTGTGTGGTCATTCGATACATGTGTTCAACGTGTAATGTTCAAATGGGTGCTTAGCACCCCCGACCCTTCCACCATTTATGTCTTCATGTTGGAAACCATCAAATTCTTCTGGTCATCTATTTTGAAATTTAAAAAGAAATAAATTTTATTTTGTGTGTGTGTTTGCCTGTGTGTATATATATATATGTGCCTGGTACCCTCAGAGGTCAAAAGAGGTCCCCTGGACCTGGAGTTACAGATGGTTATAAACTATCCTGTGTGAGATGGGACCTGAACTCGGGTACTCTGTAAGAGCAGCAAGTGCTCTTAACGTCTGAACCACCTCTTCAGCCCCATTCTCTGATCGTTATATAAAAATATATAAAATGGTGTAAAGTATAATCACATGCTTCAGAACACCAGAACATTGTCTCCCATCTCATTCTGATGCCCAGCATCCGACCGCCCCACCCCCTCGCCTGCCCCTCTCAGCACTAGTGATGTGATGTGATCTTGCTCTCTGCAGAAGAGCTGTAGTGGGATTGCTTTTTGGGTTTTCTGTGTTGTGTAATCAAATCTATGGCATTAAGCATGCTAGGCCAAGCACTGTATGGACAGAGTCTTATCCCCTTTCCCTAGGTTTTTCTCGTTTCTGTTTTTTTTTCATTTTTCTTTTTTTTATATTTATTTATTTATTATGTATACAATATTCTGCCTGTGTGTATGCCTGAAGGTCAGAAGAGGGTAGCAGACCTCATTACAGATGGTTGTGAGCCACCATGTGGTTGCTGGGACTTGAACTCAGGACCTTTGAAAGAGCAGGCAATGCTCTTAACCACTGAGCCATCTCTCCAACCTTTTTTTTTTTCATTTTTAACAACTTATTTTTATTTTATGTGCATTGATGTATTGCCTGCATTTGTGTCTGTGTGAGAGTGTTGGACCCCCTGGAACTGGAGTTACAGACAGCTGTGAGCTGCCATGTGGGTGCTGGGAATTGAACCTGGGTCCTCTGGAAGAGCAGCCAGTGCTCTCAATCACTGAGCCATCTCTCCAGCCCCGGGTTTTCTTGTCTTTAAATCAGTTACCTTTAGGAGAGAACTTAGCTGATTTACATCGGATAGGAATTAGTTCTTTAGATGCTTCTGTAGACACAGAGTTCCCATTGGGCTCGCGGGTGGAGGGGCTGCTGAGAGAGGGGCACTAGATAGTTGTGTCTGGTGTGGTGGTGGTGAGTTACTGTGCTATTGTGACTTGAGAGGCGTGACATCCTGTGGTTTAGGGGGACAGAGAGGACAGAGGGATGCAGCTGAACAGTGCCCAACTTGTTCCTCTGATTCACCCAAACCCACAGACCCCAGCCACCATGGAGAGATTGGCTTTCCAGGAGCCACACTGACAACTCAGCTTTCTGAAAGAAAAAAAAAATCACGTCTGGCTTATGGATGGCTTCCGTTCCATTTTTAAAATATTTTCCTTGGCACCCAGGAAGGATTTGTTTGACTCTTCCGGAGGTTTTGACACATTCTCTGTATCTTTCAAATACTGAAATATCTAGTCGGCTGACACTTTAATCAGTGTGACTGTCAGAACGTCATTTGCATGTGTGACAGGTGACACCCTAAAAAAGCGAAGCGGGTTTATTTGTAGGTACCCAGCTCTGCTCCTTCGGGGTACAGTGTAATGTCTCCTCATATTAACTTCCGGTTAAATTCCCGAGTCAGAGGCGCAGACAAAGAGGGAGAAATGCACAGAAGGGCTGTGGCTGGCCGGGACCAACAGGGTGAGTCTCCAGCCCAAGGCACATGACTGACCCCCTGCTGACCCCTCCAAATATGGTCTCACGTGTCTCTACTGAGACCCAGGCTTTCCTGTCCCTGTTCCTGTGGACCCTGATAGCAATACCAGAATTCTCTGCATACACAGCCCTGATCCCCTCGCTCCTCCCAGGCCTCCACTCTGAGTATGGGCAGTGCCACTTAAGGGACATGCTCAGAGGCTGGACTCCGGTGCAGCTGTCTGTAGCAGGCCTGACTAGAGTGTGGGTGGAAAAGGTATGTGGCCCCTGTATGCGTTTCTTGTAGAGTGGGATGCTGGGTGGGCAGAAAAAGGCTTGGGGATGGCATGGACCAGAAGCCAGCGCCTCAAGAAGCCCACCATTTTCTAAGCTTACATGCAGAGGAGAAAGGGTGGAAACCATTGGACAGTTTTTAGCTTGACTGAACGACTTGTAAATACAGTGGCACAGGGCATGCCAGTCTCATTGACAACGAAGCCCCGTGGTTGTCAGTGGCAGGCCACCACAGAGCACCTGCTATATCAGGGCCCGAGAAGAGGGACTTGTAAGCAGCAGGACCTGGGCACACTTTGGGAGCTAGGATTCTGACAGTTCTTTGCCTTGGAGGCTGTGGTGGTAACCTGAAGGGCAAGACTCCAAAGCTACCACCGACTGTATATCAGGAAGTCGGCATGGCCGTTCCCAGCGGCAGAGGAAGTTATTCCCTCGTGGCGAATTCAGACAGTAGAGTTGGCAGCTGCTGGGGAAATAGAACTGGCTAGATAGCAGTGCCTGCACTGGTCGATCCCAGGTGGCTCTACCTCAGCCAGAACAGGGAACTGTGGCCTCCCTGTCGGATGTGGCCATTTCATTCTTGTCCTCCTCTCTAGAAAAGTGGGCGGGATGTGGAAGCTAGGGGTGGGATCTTCTTTGCTGTTTTCCAATAGTGCTTTCTGCTTCAAAGCCCACCCACAGCCCCACCCAGAGGCTGTTTCTCAAGCTAACTCTGATCTGGTTTGATGAGGAAGGAAGCCTTGAACCTCCTCTTCCCAGCAACCTGGCTGCTGCCTGTTCACGCCAGTTCTCTCCCAGTTCAAAGGAGCGCAAGCATAGGGTTCTGTGCTCCCATAAAAGCCACCTGCCATCTTCTCTCTCTTCTGCGTCTCGACTGCCACTGAGATTCTTGGCCTGACAGTCACATGGGCCAACCCTCCCTCAGAAAAGTTCTAGCTTATGTGGGAATTTCTGTGATGGAATGTCATTTGAAAAACTGCATCAACCCCAGTCATCCACAAGAAGAAGTGACCTCAGAGGTCTCCTGGCTCCTGAACCTGCTTCCCGTCAGCTTCTCAACGCTGAAGAGACAGACCCCTGCTGCCCCATTTCCATTTTACTTGAGGTCTAGGTTGTGAATTAGGACTAGCACTCCTGAGGTAGGAAAGAAAGGCCAGTTCTACCCTGACCCCACCCCACAAGGTGGCTGAGCTTACTCACCGAAGCATCCTGAAGTATGGGCTCATTCCATAGCCGGGTCTCCTCTAAGGTCTTCTCAGCCATGATCCTTGATGTCTGTGCCCCTCTGTGGGGCTCCTGTGGGCCTTCCCTGCTACTGGCGGGCCGGTGCTCTCTCTGTCTTCCTTTCTTAGAGCTAGGCCACCTGTACCCTCCTCTGTGCCAGCCCTTTCTCCCAGCATTCCTCTTTGGCAAGCCCTCCTACAAACACACTGTGTGTTCTGCCTATTGCCGAGATAAGGACACTCTGGCTAAAGGTACATCAGATAATGGCATGGGTGGCCAAATCGGTGTCCTGCTGTCTCACGAGGGACTCCAGGGCTAGGAAAGGTCAGACAGGGCACTCCCACTGGCTCCTCAGTTGAAGCTACTCTGGAAAGGGACAGGCCACTAGAAAATTCACTTCCATTTGCTTCCCGCTGGCCATGAGTGAAATGCCCTTTCTGAGACCAGAGAGTGCCGGAGGACCTCACAACCGAAGTTCTCAGAGCTCCCTGGAGGAAGGATCTATTACTGGCTCGGAGGCTCGGCACAGTTTAGGTGTCTTCCATGTCTCCTTCAGCGTCAGGTAAGGGTACCCCACTGCAGAAAGCTGGGCTTCCCACCCTCTCTGCCACCTTTTCCCATCAAGTGGGTGGATGGGCCTGGGGGCTTTGGACTGCCTGTTTGGCAGATCCGGGTGGAAGTAGGCAAGGCTGCCAGCGGGCAGTGAGTGAGTATCTCCTCCCCTGGCCATTTGCTTTGCACCAATTTCTGTTATTCACACCCCTTCCTTGGCTTGTCCACCACCTGTCCTGCTTAGATAGAAAGGGCTTGAAAATTAGGGGTACTGGGGGCACAAGGTGGAAGGAAGTCTGTTGAAGGAATGCAGGATTGACCTCAACATGGTGCAGGTTACCAGCCCGCAGCAAGATGGAGAGACCCAGTATTCAGGGCAGCTATTGGGAGGCACATTCCTTGGGTGGTGGCCAACTGATAGTCACAAGACTTTCAAGGACTGAATAGCGGGGCATAGGAATTGAAATAAAGTTGTCAAATTGTACAGGAGCAACTGGGCTACTGGGATGGACTGGAGTTGGGTTCTGGGCTGGGAAACAGGGGCCTGGCCTTTCCAGGGCCTTACACTGCTCTTGCCCTTGTGGAATTTACTTTAAAGCAACCGCGTTGGGCCCTGGTGGAACGTCAAATCCTTCCAGCAGCGGTGGAACAGGCAAATTCTCAAAGATGTCTCCTTGTACATCGAGAGTGGACAGATGATGTGCATTCTAGGCAGCTCAGGTAAGCAGCAGGAGGGCGCATCCACTTCCAGGGAGGACTCCAGGGAGGCCGTGGCTTGGTTTAAGGGCCGTGTTGAAGGAATGAGCTCAAGTCTGTAGAGAGCAGACCATGCATCTGGCACTGGAATGAACTCTAACGACATGTCTGTGAATGGGCCCTGGTACCAAAGAGAATCCTTGAGAAAAGTCCCTGGGAAGAAGGGAAAGTCCTGCCTACCATGTAAACAGCTTGTTTGTTTGTTAGATTGGTTGTTGGTGGTGCTGGAGATCAAATCCAGAGCCTTGGGCATGCTAAGGAAGCCATCTACCACCAAGCCCCTGCCCCAGTCCCAGCTCTATTTTCAATTAGTATTTCCACTTCTGGAAAGTTCTCGTCAAGCCGTGCAGCAGGTGGAATTTAACTCATATTCTTGATCCCACTGCCCTTTTTTACAATGCTGATTATCAGACACACAATTGAGAAGAGAGAATCCTAAAAAAGAATTCGTGTTAACATCAAGTCTTATCAGTCAGTGCACTAAGTTTTTAGTTGTTTTTTTTTTTTATGTTTTGTTTTGTTTTGAGCTGCATTCTTAAAGACTGGGACCACCTGTGTGTATTCCCCATGCCTTTCTCTTCTTCTCAGGGGAAAGTTTACTATTTGGATGTGGCTTCCATGTTTGTTTTTATGTTCTTGCGTCAGTGAGTTATTGTCTTTGGAGGCATTTCCTCTGCTTTCACTGCAAAGCCTATAGGTGAAGTCCTCAGACTTTCAGCCCCTGGGGAGGACGTACACGGGCCCAGAAGAGGGGCTCGGTGTTCACAACAAGGAGTCGTCCTGCATATATTCATTTAAAGATTTTGACACATCAGTTCCATAAGACCCTCTTGTTTGAGAAACTGGTTGCAAATTGTTGGCATTTATCCCACGCCCCACTCGCCTTGCTCTTTCCTAGCAGTAGCCAACGCTAAGTCTGTGGTGAGAGTCAGGTGTGGCACCGTTAGGACCGAGCTGAGTGAGTCTCCCAAAGCCCTGCAACACAAGATTGTCCCCCATTGTGGAAATGAGGACAGACCTGGTGTGTCTGAAGAGATGGGTGTAGGTCTTGCCGGGTCCACATTAGCTCTCACCAGACAGAGCTGATGAAAGACAGCCCGCTGCCTGGACCTCTCTGTCTTCCTGGCTCATCGCACATTCGCTCACTCTCAGGTGTCGTCTGGCAAAGGTGCCGTTTACTATGTGGTGTATGTAGCCGGACGTCAGTCCCTGGGGCTGAGCAGATGATTCTATCCTGTTTTGAACTCTAAGTCTCCAAGACTGTGGGTACACACGCACACACACACACACACACACACACACACACACACACACACACACATTTCTACACATCGCCCAGCCTCAGCTATCCCAACTCAGGCATTTTCCTATAGTAATACAAAATGGATTAAGATGTCCAGCCTCAAATCGAACCCATCCATAAAGCACAGCTGTATGGCAATTGATTAAGATGAAATAAGATAATATGACGAGGATTAAATGAAAATGAATTCACTGACCGTCTCAGTCTCATTGGGATACTGAAAGAAAATATCATATACTGGGCTGGGTGGTAGTGGTGTGCGTCTTTAATCCCAGCACTCGGGAGACAGAGACAGGCTGATCTTTGTGAGTTCAAGGCCAGCCAGGTCTACCAGTACAGCCAGGGCTACACAGAGAAACCCTGTCTCAAAAAGCCGAATATATATCCTATGCAGCGTGACTTATGGGCAACAGTGTGTATTCTTCACACCTCAGGAGGCTGACACACCAGGGCCCACAGGTCTGATATGCGGTGAGGGCCGTCGTATTAGCTGTTTGTGGGCAAAAACACCTGGCAGAAATGATTTAAATAACAAAAGATTTATTTTGGTTCATGATTTCTGAGGGTTCAGTCCATCATGGTAGAACAGCCTATATATACCATGATGGAGAGGAAGAAGAGGGAGGATGCAGGAAAGAACCGTGACAAGACATACCCAAGGAGCAACCCGTTACCCATTTCTCCCAGCTTGTCTCTACCTTCTAAAGTTTCCAGAACCTCCCCCAAAGCACTGCCAGCTGGGGATAGAAGAGCCTAGGAGAATGACATTTCATATCCCACTCACAACAGTTGGCTTCTTCATACGCACTTACTTTCTGGTGCTGTTCACATAATCAAAGAGTTATGGGATCTCTCCTGGGTCTTTTATATTTTAATTAGTTAATTAATTAAATTACTTTGTGTATGTATGTGCAGGTACATGTGTTTGTGAAGGCCAGCAACCAACTTTGGGTGTCTTCTATCTTGTGTATGTACAGACGGGGGTCTCACTATGTCACCCTGGCTGGCCAGGAACTTGCTTTGTAGACCAGGCTGCTCTCAAATCCACAGAGATCTGCCTGCCTCTGACTCCCGAGTGGGGGACTTAAAGTTATGTGCTCCTATGCCTGGCTTCCCATATTGTTTTCTGAGAAACGGTCTCTCTCTCACTTTTACCTGGGGCTTACTGATGCATCGAGACTGGACTACAAGCATGCCTCAGTTATAGTGAGCAATTTTCCAACCGACCCATTTCCCTGACCCTCAACCTCTTCTCTAAGCACATTGACCCCGGTCTGCTTCCAGTACACTTCCTAATGCCATTTCAGCCACCTGGAGACTTGTGTGTGAGAGAGATTAAGACTCTGTCTCCAGAGTGACATCCTGCTATGCTGCGTTGTAAGTTAGTACTTAACGGTTAATCAGAACTGGAGGGAAGAGAGAGTTGGGGGAGAACCCCAAGGATCTCCGTGTGAAGCTGAGAAGCAGCAGCCTTGCTAGTGGCTCTGAACAGCTACAGGAACAGACAGAAAGAAAGGACAGACAGCAGTAGCAAACACTGCTGCAGGAACCACATAAAAGGCCTTTAATGCCCTGGTTAGAGAAACAACACAGGAAGGCAGGGATCATGTTTGGGGAGTCAGGACATAATTCCAACAACTCATGGGGATCACTTCTCCTCCTTCTTCTCTTTCTTCTCCACTTCCTCCGCCTCCTCTTTTCCTGTGTGTGTGTGTGTGTGTGTGTGTGTGTGTGTGTGTACGTTACAGGAGGTTGGACCAAGTGTTCTACAACTGAGCTGTTTCCCTAGCCCAGGATTCATTTTTTCCTTTTAATACAAGAAAATGGTTTTATTCCTACCCTTTAGTTTCTGACAGTTTACCCTCACTGTGATAATAAGACCTTGTAACTAGCGAAGCCGTTGAGCTAACATCCATAAATACGGGTGGGGAGGCGACAACCCATAGGTTTCTCCGTGCGAACTATTCTTTCAATGCCACGAAAAGACAATTGCAAACAGACCCCACAATATGCGTGGGCAGAAAGGCAACGGAGTGTGTCTCGGGCACACTGAAGTGTAGTAAACAGCACATTATCAATAGTTATAGGGCTTACGTTAGAGCGATGACATCTGAAAGTGGCATTCCTCTTAAAGGATGTGGTGTTCTCCTTTCTACCCCACTCTGCCTGGGCATGCATGCAGTCCTGCTTCGGTCAGACGTGGTTAGGACAGATGGTGACCACCACAGAAGCTTATCTTTGGACCCCTCATGATAAAAGCGGCTTCCACAAAGCTCCTGAATAGAAGATCTTGTATCTGTGTGAGCCCCTCTGTCACCTCAGGTACCAGGCTAGAACTCTGCAGAGATGTTCTTGGTAGCAACTGGCTAGCTATGGCCGAGGCTCTTGGCGCAGGCTGAGGTCAATTTGTTTTCCCCAAAGGCCTTCAGTGCCCCTCAGCCGCTCCACACTCGAGGGAGCTTGTTGAAAAGCGGAGTCACATTCATTAGTT